TGTACCCATCTTCTGATGGCTGCTTCCAGCAGATTCGTAAAGCTCAAATGTTCTCCAACTGATTTCCGAACATAAAAATGAGTTTACTATGCTCAAATGACATTTACAGTCATCAGTTTCACTCCCATAGAGCACATTTCGGATGTGGTGGAACGGCAGTTTGGCATCATGGATGTGCAGCCAACAAATGTGCAGCAACTGTGCAGCATAGTGTTGAATCCAAGCAATGAAGAGATAAGTCAGTTCTGAAAACAAAAGTGGATTCAACCTCCTTAGACCCGAACTCTTCCACGGCATGCATTTTTAATTTCTCTTTGATATTTGGGCTGATTGGGGCCCGCTGAATGTAAAAACAAAGAATTACCAGATTTTTTTTTTTTTTTTTTACCTTATTTTTGTTTTTAAGAAAAATAAGAGCCACATATGAGGATATTTGTTTAAAATTTTGATAGAACAGTAGCAGCAAAATTTAGTATTTTGGTCTAAATAACCCAAAATGTGATGTCCACATATGTGGACGCCAGGTCCTAGGAGGTTAACCCCATACTACAAAAGTGTATCTAACCCAGAGGCTCAAAAGGGAAAGTCAATTTCACTCAGTTATTTTTAGGTAAATAGCATCTGCCAAGAAGGTTATGTAACTGACTGCTTTGTTTTGTTTTGTTATTTGTTACCAGGTTTGCTCAAAAAAGTTATACCGTGCATCAAAGGCTTGGAGGTGAACAGAGATTTCCAGGGGTTTCCACATATTAAATTATTTTGAATAACCTTTGACACTAAAATGTTGTTTAAACATAAACGTTATGACAGGTTCATCTACAAGATTCATCCAAAATGTAGCAAAGCACTCTTACTTTATATTTAAAGTTATTCTAAAAATTATTTGAATTTTTTTAAAATTCAGTACTTTTTTCTACAATATTTTAAATGAGATGCTTTCAAATAAAAAAATAAAGCACTTATGAAAAGACCTCATCATATTATTAAATCCTATTTATTTAAAAACAGTACTTCAGCAATCTAATAATACAAGTAAATGTCCTCCAATAACATTTTACCCAAGGGACGGAAGTTTTATCAGAAATATCTTGTGAAAGTCTTGATCCAACTGATTTTTACGTCATTATTATAAAAACACTTCATAACATTTTCCATGTGTTGCCAACAAACACTTTGGTCTAAAAAATGTAACTAATCATTTCAGCCGATAAAAATAAGTGTAATGGTTTAATAACTAATTTTTTTCCCTAAAATATAGTCAAGCAAAGTTATTACATAATATTAAAAAATATATATTAAAGTAGATAAATATCATACTAATGCAGCATTTAAATACATCCCCTGGGCATGAGAACACCTTCATGGAAAGAGTGACAATGCTGGCACGACACTTGATACCTGGTACACAAGAGTGGATTACGAGAAAAGGCCTATTTCTGTTCTTTCTCAGGCTCCATCAGCTGTGGATTTCATAACTTATTTTGCAGTTGTAACCTTAATTTATGGTCATCAAGAGCACGGGGGACACTCACTCCCACTAGTTTGAGTCCTCTGATGAATTTAACGTCGTTACTGTAGATGGTGTGTATGAAAATTTCTGGAAATTCACGCTGTCTTCACGGTTGAATGGATTCTATTTTTTCCCTGTTTTGTATAAACTGATCTGACACAAGCAGACTGCACAGCAACTTAAAATTGGCTCACACGCACGAGCAGTTTATCTTCCCGAGTCATTCCCAGAAGGTCCCATAGAAAGCTGAGGGAGAGGCAGTCTGCTGCACTTTAACCCTCTGAGGTCTCAGCCACTGTTTTCAGCTGTCTGCTGCCTCTGTTAACATAGCATTACATCTACAACAAAGCAAATATAAAATCCTGAATAAATGCAGTACTGTAAAAATAATTAACGAGTTTTAAGCACACCTGTGTTGGTATGAAAGTTTAAAAAGTCAATTTAATGTTTATTCATTTTTCAGCACACGTTTTTTGGTCTAAAAAAGACCAAATTGTGCTATATAAATAAACTTGCCTTGCCTAAAGTTCTCATGTGGCAAACAGAATTATAATATTGTGGTCGGCGATTAGGTGGAACTTTTTTCTCCTTAACCCTAACCTGTACACTGTACCTTTGTATTTAAAACAACTGCTGAAGTTTGGTCGGGGTACTGTCATCACAAAAGTCACAAAAACACAGTCTGTTTTTCAGGATTACTTTGAAACAAATGTACCTCTAAAGAAAGTTTATGTCACTTATGTTGTCCAGACAAATCCGGTACATGTCGCCGTGCCAACCGAAGTAACAGAGCTCTAACATAAGTGGCAACATTGTAACCCAAACCATGATTTTGTATTTTTTTTTTATAAACTTAACTCAGAGGTTTTAAATATCTAAACCCAATCAGGTAATTTATTTTTAACTAACAACATAGTTAAAAATACTAAAAAAGGAAACATGTATGACTCAAACTGGCATCTCTGGCTGTAATGACTACCTCCACTACGACCCACTACAAAATAAAAATCATGTCCAGAAACACAGTGCACTAGACTAGAGCTGATTAGAGCCGAATTCATTTTCCTACGCCACATTAGCAAGAAGCTTGTTTACCTGAATTTCCCCAATGAGGGACAATAAAGGATATTTCTATTGTACTTCTAGAGATTGTGACCATTTCCCAAGCTGTGTTAAACGTATTAAACTGCATTAGTTTAGAAATACTATGTTGACAAAAAAAAGTGTAGAAATCTACAGTTTTGCTGTGTGTGCTCTCATTAAAGAGTAATAAAGTTGTTGCTGTGGTATTGGGATCCTACATTATTTGAATTATCAGCCTTAGTGCATTTACACAAAATGCAATTAGGGCAAAGGCAAAATACAGCAATAGAATTGGCATTAATGCCAGTGAGTGTCTTTAATTACAAGAGTAAATATAGTAGACAAACAATGTCAAGAAAAGCTCAAGAAAAGTTTTTTTGTCTCCATTTTAAAAATGGCGCTATTTCCAACATACAGCAGTTCAACCAGGCTGAAAGAGGTTACATGCATGTATGATGAGTTCACTGTCTCTGACCCAAGCCAGAATAATTCTTCATGTTATCTTCAGATTCCTTTTGTACTTGCATATAGCGTGTTTACATGACCTTGACCTCTTTGTGACCTACTGTTATGGTGACGTTTGCTTGAAGAAGCAAAAAGCAACCAGCTATTGAGTCCACTGTAATACTACAAACTGACAGAAAGCTCAAATTAGGAGAATGTGCACTATAATAGAGCACATCCTAAATGGAAGGAGCCCACTGACCGTGTCCAGATGTGTGCGCTGGTGTTTAGCACGATCACTGGAGTTGCTGAAAGCCTTGAGGCAGCCGGGGTGCTGGCAAATGTAAGGCTTCTCCCCCGTGTGGCTCCTCAGGTGGATCTTCAGGTTCTCCAGACGGGAGAACGCCTTGGAGCAGCCCTCAAACTAACAAATAGAAAAGCAGAAGATTTTATATGAAAAATTATTTAAGAAAATGTGCCTAGATTATCTTTAAAAATTAGTAAAAGTGGCACTTTGCCCATCAGCGTACACTCAACAATGACAAAATGAAACCATGTGTTTAGACATTTTTGCAAATGTATTGCATTTAATACCATCAGTTAGTGGAGAACCATATACGGTGAATATGTGCCATCCTATGTTTTCCAAATATTAAAACGAATGTTCGTAACAGGACGATGCATTAACCCATTCCTCTCCTGAGGCTCCTGTATTAGAAGGAGACCGCGTGATATTTAAACAGAACCTACTGCTTTTTATAAAGACTACTAAGCAAGTCTACATTCACTCAACAAGTTGCTTAGTGAAACCATGACTAAGAATGTAATGGAGTAAAAATATTTAAAATTGGTTCAGCAGTATCAGTGTTTACTAATATATTGTCATTAGTCTGCTTCTTTCATAATTAAAGATTAGAGAAGAGTTAAAGGATGTTTTTTCCATTTATGTATTTTAACTGTACTCAGATGCACTACAAAAGCAGTAGATGAAAGAACTTGATAGTGTTGTGCACACTGCTGATAATAGTTGTGTAACAACCTAAAAAGAGGGCTTGAAATTCAAATCCTAGATACTGTCACCTTAAAGAGTTGAATGTCATATCGCCTAAAAGCTGCTTTAATCCAGTGACAAGCAGTCCCGACTCACTCCGCTGACCCGATGCTCGTTTCTCCTGTTCATACTGGCCATGAACACAGGTATAATGTGCTTCATATAAAAGTAACGGGTTTCAAAAGCACCGGTGTGACCCACTTTTTTGTGAAAGTGCATTCAGTGAGCCAAAATAAAGCTTCAGCACTTTGAGAACGTAACAGTTTATTTAAAAATTTGAGAAAAAGATTGTTCATAACTGGACAATTTCTGTCACTTTATTTGAAAAGTTTG